CTTCCTCAGAAAGTATCCCCTATTGATAGATTTATTGTTTTGGGGTTTTTTCCCTGCACTAAGTCAGTGTGCATTAAGCATCCACAGTATGCCTCTATCAGGCAGCTGTTCAGTAAATAAAGTGAATAATTATGGTTCTTCTCTTAGGGAGACCAAATAAAAGGGTCCTTTGATGCTACCTGTGTCAAAATCAAACTGCATCCTTTTTTATTGTTATTAATTCATTTTAAAAAACTTAGTTTTGTGCTTCTTAAATGAGAAATAGCAGAAAAAGTGTGAGAACCAGTGTATCTAAATCAACGCTGTGCAATGAATTCAGATACAGATTAGAAGGGCCAAATTCAGTCTAAGACTGTTTGCAACCTTCTGAAGACCAAATTCTGAGGAAAGTAATCTGATGACAGAAAGTACTCCCTCTCTTAAAGTTTAGGATTGTATGTATTAAGCAATAATTTAAAAAAACATATCTGATTCTTAGCAGGTCTTAAAATTAGGAAAATTCAACCTCAGATGAACCATGAGAAGATGTTTGGTCATAATGCACAGCACCACATTTATAGAAAACATCTCATAGTAACTGCAGCACCACCAAGCACATTGTTGAGTTGAGCATGAACTGGTCTGTACATCAAAGTATTCTAGAGTCAAATGTGAGGCCGTCTGTCTGACAACCAAAGTGTGGCCAAAATCGGGTTATGAAACAACGATCGCAAGCACAGCAGCAAATCTACAACAGAGCAGCTGAAAAAGAAGAGAGTCAAGGTGTTACAGTGGCCCACTCCAAGTCCAGACCTCAACCTGGTCAGAATGGTGTGGTAGGACCTTAAGAGAGCTGCACATAAACAGATGCCCGCAAACCTCAATGAACTGAAGCAACGTTGTAAAGTAGAGTGGGCAAAGATTCCACCACAATGATGTGAAACTGGGTCATACGGAAAATGATTACCTAAAGTTATTGCTGCTAAAAGTGGCTCTAGACACGGGTGGATTTAAGTTTTTACACACTGCATTTGAGCTTTTTAAAAAAATAATAATAACATAGTTTAGTTTTGTTTTGCTTTTATATTTGCCTAACTTTAGAACCTGCTAAGTACCAGATGTTTGTTATTATTACCTCATTATATAACCGTAGAACTGAAATACGGTAGATTTTCTGTGTACCGTGACTGTAACATAATACTGGACAAAGCAGAAGGTGTGATGGGAAACTCACAGAGGGAAATGGATGGTAGGATTAACCAGTTAAAACAAGAAGATCCACTGCTGTGCTCCTGCAGTCTGCAGGTGTGGCAGATTGGTAGAGATCAGAATAAAACACTGGAATGCTCCAGTCTATGTTTATGCAACATCCCCAGACAGCTTTCAATTAGATACAAAAATGTTGTCGGTGTGATCTGATTCTAAATGAATTCCAGCCATCCTTGGCCATTTACTTACATTTAAACCAAAGTAAACACTGACTGTAAATGTGCTGGAATAATAACACAAA